TATTATCATTTTAATACAAATCTGTAACTTATCTCATCATGTATACAGCAAATTCAAATTTAAAAAAAAAAAGAAAACGAAAACTAGTATAAATTTTGAAGCTCAATTTTAATGTTTTTAACTTTTGAAAAGTCTTGTTTTGTTTGTTGGATCCAAATTTTTAGAAGCGTTATATTCAGAAAATGGCAAAACTACATTTTTGATATTTTTACTATAAACGAAATTTCGATTATCAAAAGTCGTAGAAGTATGAATTTGTCACTTGCTCCGGACAATAAAAAAAATAATATAATATAATTCTATATTTTATTTTTAGTAAATAAAACAAAATTACTAAAAAAGATAAAATAAAATAAAATAAAATAAAATAAATAAAAATAAATATAAAAAAAGAGTAAATTTTTGTAATTAATTTGACTTTGAAATATTTGATAAATATAGTTAGATTTAATTTAATTTAATTTTATATAAATTTAAAAGCTATTTGTTTAGAAATCTATTAGATGGTTTTAAAAATACTATGTATATATAATGAGAATATAATGAGAATATAATGAGAAAAAATTCTGTATACGATTAAATCAAATCCAAATTTATAAAATTGAATATAGAACTGTAGTTTTTTAATACGTAGTCTTACAACATTTTCGATAGCTTCCAAATTCTGATCAAAGTGATGTTCCAAGATTCTGAGAGATAAAGCACAAATCGGTGCATGATATCATTGTATTACTAAACAAAGTCTAAAATTATAGTCGGATTGGTTTGTCGAATATTCTAATACATGTAATTAAACTAAAATCTTGGAAGAAAACATTAACGTTAATGTCAATGGACTAAAGTTCTATTTCTATATGGAGTATATATCCTGAATAATACTTGTAATATGTATAATAATGGATTTCTACTTTAGTAACATAGAGAAGTAAATGTTAGTAAGTGTTCAAAATTCACATCAAATAATTTATATGATCATATCGATATATAAGATAAATTAGAAACCACGATAAGAATGTTGACAATCTTTTAAATATGATATCTCGTGACTCTATTGTGGTTGTGTTATTGGTTTGTTTACGCATGAAGAAAATCTTTGCCGATTTAATGATAAAAACGTTTAACGGTTAAAATAAAACATTAATTACAAATTGCGTTAATAAATTAGGAGTACAGGATACTAAACTCATTTTATAAAAAAATTTTGAAGAATGTACGTACGTACGTATGAGTTTGACCATAAAATTATAAACCAATCCATATCGTTCGTTTTTTTCATAAGCATAGGAGTAGATATTAATCATTTTTTATGTTTGTCAAACAAATAACCAAATAATAAACCAAATAACAACCAAATAATAATCAAATAACACAGAGTTTATTAAATGCGCGTGCACGCTTAATATGAATAGTGAAATTGCGTGTAATTCCATCATAAGTGAATAATAAGTCAGTCTTAAGTTGTAGTGATAATAGAATACTTGGTTATAGGTCATTGAGAAAAGTCAATGATACGAGCACCTCCTAGCTTTATCCGCTTTATCCGCTTTATCTGCTTTATCCGCTTCATCCGCTTTATCCAAGAGTTATTGATTTCATTGATATCATTATGATTTGTTATGACTTTTATTATGTATTTTGGGGAAGAAGAATGCAACCTGTAAAGTGCATCTTTTAAATGTTCGTTTCACAAAACCCGATTAATACGAACAATTTGGAAAATTGTTTTTCTTGTTATTCAGCATGTGTCATACAACAAAACAGTAATATTTTTTTTTACCAATAAATGAAACCTTACATTTTATTGGTATAAATTATTCAAAAGCAAGTATAGTGTAAACCAAGCCGAGATTGTAAAGATTGTGAAGATTGTGAAGATTTGTGAAGATTTGTGAAGATTGTGAGTGACTATCACATAAATATTTACAAAATTATTACTCTGCTAAATATAATAAATTTACTTTTATTATGACTGCAAATCTAATTTCCAAAAGAAATGAGAAAAAGAGACAATAACAGTCACGCTGATGTAAAAGAATTATATGTAATTGTTCAAAGTTACTCGAAGGGATTTGCCGAGTAGGAGACATGGTCAGCATGCATGTTTTATAATTTCGCAGTAAACTTCGCAGGAAATTTAAGCATGTACATATTAAATTGTGCATTGCTTAAAACATAAAAAATTGCCCCTGGTAAAAAAAAAACCAAAAAAACACGGCTCAAGAGGTTTAACTTGATGGACAATAATGGTCAAATATTTTTAGGCGGCAAGACTAAGCCGGAAAAGATTTATGACGATCATACATCTAACATTTAAAGTGTTATACGTATCTGAAACAGTTTATAATTTCCACATTCTTAACTTAGAATGAATAGAATGTAGATAACAAGAAATTATTAATGGTTATGATGATCCATCATTTAAATTAGGAGTACGTAAGTTGCAGGTTTGCTTTGATTGTCATCATACTGCTTTTAGTACTCTTTTAGTTCTTAGCGTTAGGATTCCATAGCCCTATGTTTACTTAGTCACGTGATAAATGGATTCCAAAAAAAGATTTAAAAAAAATTTATTAGCATTTATAGCCAACTAAATTAAATTATGTAACAGTCAAGTTAAACGCATACATACATTATATATCTAGTAATGCATAAGTAGATGCATTGGCCGGATTTATACATAAATAAAATTAAGATTTTACACATCTATTCTCGTGTTACTTGAAGATAATAAATTGTCCAAGTTGTTTTAACGTCTAAGTTATTCTAACTTGCCTTCATCCTTTTCACTGGGGCAAAAAAAAAAGGTAACTACAATTTATATTAAGATTTTTCTATATATATATATATTTTTTTTATATAGGGTCTAAAGCGCACTTTTAAGTGATTCTTGTTTGCTAACTGCATTTTTTTTCGACTTTATAATAAACAAAAAAAATAAAAATAAAAATAAAACTAGTTGAATATTCACCTAATACTTATTCTTTTCCTCTTATATTTCCTCCTGTTTCAGTTGTCTCCTCCGCGTGACGCTTTCTTACCTGGTATCCTTTTCTCTATGTTCAAGTTTTAATACCCGTATTCCAGGCACTTTTGTCTTTTTTTTTCGTACACTCTCATATGTTTCAGTCTATATTTGATATTTCGCTTGTTTGCGATCGTCAACTTTGGGTAAAATAACTTATCCATTTTATCGCCATTTTTTCAACATACTTTGCCCTTAACCCAACCATTTTTTCCCAAAAAAATAGTATTTTCTGATTTTATTAATCAGTTAGGTTAAAAGCTTGCGTCACAACAGCTCCAACTGCTGTTATTATTAAAAAATTAGTCGCTGTGCGGCTTCGGCAAGCATTTCATTCCTTCAGTAGTGCGGTTACGCACCCATATTCGTACGTTAGACAACTGTGGAATTCAACTTTTAGATATAAACTAAACGACCCTTTAGATATGGCTCTAACTGAAGAGAGCAATCGACGTCATTTATCTAGCGATTCTGCTTCTAGAAATTCCTCTTATAATCATATAAATCAAATTGATGAAGGTGGTGAGCAAAAACGACGTTCTGCGATAAAAAGATATGGAACTTATGAATTGAGTTGGCCCTCATCCTCTGCTGAAAATCTTAGCACCGATGATGCCATTGTTGACTCCGCACAGGTTGCGAGAAAGTCTTTAACGAGCTCGAAACATTCTTCTTTAATGAGCTCGAAACATTCTTCTTTACAAGATACTCATCGAACTTCTTCACTGACGTCAAATAAACTATCTCATACTTCCTTTGGTGGTGGTGGTGGTGGTATTACCATAACAACTACTAAAGTAGTTGAAGTATTAGGCAGTCCGAAAGATGTTCCTTCTAATATTGATTCTTCATTTATTATTAAAAACGATATTCCTGCTCGTTCTTCGATAAACATTGATCATCGTCACTCACATCAAGATCAATTAAATATTTCTTCTGATTTAAAAGTTGAGTATGAACGTAAACGTTCTCCTCCATCTCCTCCACCACCAATTCTATCTCAAATTCCTCCTCCTCCTATTCCTCAATCTCAAGATAAAAATCATGTTTCTTTTAATGTTAAAAATGTCTCTTCACAAAATTTTCCTATTATTCAGGATCAATTTCTACAAAAACAAAAAAATCGCATTTCAATAGGTCCAATAAAAAATAAAAGAAAAAGTTTGAATTTTACAAAAAAAAATCAATCGGACTTTATATTACCCAAAGAATCTTCATTTATTGATCCAAGGTTATTGGCAAAAAAGAATCATAATCTTGTCAAAACTCAATCAATAAATCGTAAATTGGTTAAACGTGGTCAAAGCTTCAGAAGAAATAAATTTCCCCCTCGAAATATGGAATTTGCTCCTACCTCTAATCCAATATTTTCTAATGATCCTACTGATATGGATGCTGATCTACCTCCACTTAAATCTTATGCTTTTCCTTGGTTACCTGGTTCTTCTAAACCTCCTCAGTTACTTCATGCTTCTTTAGTCCCTCTTCCAAATCGATCTCAACGTACCATTGCTTCTTCTAATATTAATCGTACCTCTTATATTTCATCTAATAAACCTGGTCGTGTTTCAAATTTACTCTCATCTGTTAATGTTAAACGAAATTCACTTAATTTTACTGTCAATCAAAGTCGATTAACTCGCGTCAATTCTTCTCGAAAACGAGCTTCAATTATGGTCCCTCAAGCAAGGCGTGCTTCGTTAATATTTAGGCAACAAATATTAGAAGAAAGCTTAATGATGTCATTTGGTCAATCATGTCCTACAAATTCTCAGCCTACCACTACAACAAAACCTTTAATACGTAAAAAAACGAAAAAAGGTAGTAATGCTAAAGTTGAAGATCGTGAAGCAAGACGTGAAAGAAGAAGAAGAGAAAAAAGGGAAAAGAATATTATGGAAGAAGGACCTTTTGAAATTTCATCGGAAAATAATATGACTAATCATCAAGTAGATGTAAAAAATAGACCTATAGAAAATTCAGATTTATTATCTGATAAAGAAAATATTATAGATTCTCAATCTACTCCAATATCTCCAAGATCTCCTTTAAATAATATAAAAGGAGATTCTTCTTCTTTATTTTCATCTTTACCGGATAAAAGATATCCAAAGACAGATGAAAATTTAAATTTAATAATGTCATCTGTTGATCAATCACCTTTTCCTGCTCACCTTTCACAAACCAAGTTTGAGCAAAAATCTAATAGAGAAACCTCTAGGAAATTACAAACCCAACGTTCTCCTCCACCCCCTCATCCTCCACCACTTGGACCTTTACCTTCAACACCAATTCTTTCACCACCACCTTCAAATTTGATACCTTCACCTGATGAAGAATATGATCAACAATTAAAAGTAATTGATGAAACAAATTCAGTACAACAAATACCTCCTCCACTTTTAAGCCCCAGAACACAAAAACTTGGAATACTTGGAGGATTATTTAATAAACAACCTTCAAATCAATCAGGGATAGCAAATATAACAAATATAACAAATATATCACCACCCATACCTATATCGCCACCCATACCTTTATCATCATTATCACCACAATCGACAAAACAGCAATTTATGTTGTATCCACGACCTCCATCACCGCCAATCAACTCACCACCACAATCACCGCCATTGAGTCCTTCACGTGTAATAAGATTACCAACAACTCGAGTTAAAACACGACGTGCTAATGATACGACACCAACTATTCAAGATCCTGAAAAGTTGAGAAAAATGGAACAATTCGAGGCTTTGATTGCAAATACAGAAGTGCAAAATAATAAAAAATCCAAGAACGGAAAAATACGAGCGCTTACTACGGCAATAATTCCCACAACATCAAATTCGACACCAGATAAAGAATCTAATACTAGGTCATCCTGCACTTCTTTAACCAATTCGGTCGCTGAATCCGTTCATTATCGACCGGAAGAAAAGGATACACTTGGAAAACCTGGCCCGACCGATGAGGATGGCGTTATTAGAGTCACATTAACCCCCAAAGTTTGTCGATAAGATTAATGCTATTTATATCTTTGTATATATGTCTTACTCTGTGTACTTTTACCTTAATTTTATATTGTATATAGATATTTTTGGGTGATAAAAATGTTTTAGGTATTTGTAAATTAATCATTAATTTAACACAGATTTTATTTATTATTCACAATTTCTATTTACAAAAAAAAAAAAAAAAACAAAAAAAAAAAAAATTAATGATTTATACTATTTCGAATATATCATTTATACGTTTATAATTAATTTTTTCGATTATATTATATTTGAAATAATTTTGTGGGGCTTATAGCTTATACCGTTACGTAGTTATCAAAATGAACCATAATTTATTTATTTATTATTTATTTTAGTTATCCTTTTTTTTTTTTTTTTTTTTTTTTGCCATTACAAATGAAAATTTTAATAAAAATAAATAAACTTAGCATAATTATTAAACGCTTTTTTTTTTTATTTACTTATCATTTATTATTATTATTTATTATTTATTTATTTTAATAAGAATTCATATATGTATTAATTATTGCATAATGAACTTTATTACGTATAATTTAGATATTATATTTTTTTATAATTTACACTATATATAAAATACAGAAATATATACGCATGTATGTATTTATTTTATTTATTTGTTAATAAAATTATTTCATAACTAATTAAACTAAACTTTTTTTTTTTTATAAATCATAACACATTTGTATGATAATTATGATAATTATGGATGAAAACAATACATACGTATAAGCAGCACCCTTATAGAAACCTACTTTGTATGTATGAAATAACCTAGCATACATTTCACTTATCTCGAGCAAGATTATATCTCACAAAAGTCATGTGATAATAATTCGCCTTCCATAACTTATATAACTTATATAATCGAATAATTTATAATTTCATAATTCGCGCGTATGATATCATCTCACGCAAGTCGCGCGAAATCATCATCTCGCGAAGTAAATCATTACTCCTTTTATATTATTACGATTGATTAAATACATATGTTTGTTTAATTAGACTATCGCTATGTGGTAATCACCTACGATATTTTTAGTTAGTCTGATTTAACAATTAAATGCGATTTAAATTTTGGTCTGTTTTTGTCCGATCGGAAATGTCGTAAAGTGAATATCCGATATATATTATAATTTTCTTGTAAAATTAAATAAATATTAAAATGGTGATGCAAACACCTAACGCTAATTAGTAGAAATAAAAGATCTGAATATCGATATAATTTTGTGTGACAAAATGTAATCAATCTTGCAACGACTCAATTTACTGCACAAATGCTAAACCCTATTTGACCCTGATCGACTGATTATCGACTGCATATGATCTACTTATTAGATCAACTGTCAAGACGTAATGATATAAAGAGCGACCTGAAAATAAACGATTATTCACAACCAATCATCTTACATTGCTAAAAAAAAAATCCTGAAATTCCTGAAATTCTATGTTATCATTATAATAATAATAATTACACAATTAAATTATATATATCGCTCGGCAGCATATGTTATAAAAGAAGCTACGGCCAAATTTTTACAAACTTTGAATAAAATAAATTTTCATTCTCATTGTATCGATATAATGAAGTACCAATTAAATTTTATCTTTTCATTCTAACGAGAATTGATTTGTATTAAATAAAATTAGTATTAATAGGGGGTTTCAAAATTCAAATGAGAATCTTATTTTATTTTTCCGATTTATAATTCTACATACGTACGTACGTAGTAAAAATATTATTGCAAAAATCCTACGTACGTACGTACTTATTTTCGAAATGCGTCACTCATTTGTTAATTTAATCTGCAAGTTCAATTTAAAAAAATAAATAAATAAATTTCAAAAATTAACTAAATATTTTTCATTGCTTATCGTTATCGTTACGTTACGTATCTAAAAACGAAGTATATATATGTGTATATATACTGTATATCGATATATTTAAAGTTAACAAAACGTTGACTTTGATTGGTTTCAAAATTTTGATTCATTTTTGGAGAAAAAAGCATTATGAAAATTCGATTTGATTGGTTTATAAAACCCTGAGTCACAAAATGAAAAAAAAAATATACAGTATCATTACAGCGGATTGAGATAATACCCCAAAAATATTAAACTACGGTCAAAATGAGTCAGTCAATTGATACGTAATT